GTACAAAATACCAGGAACTAAATATCATGTAATGAAAATTTGTGGTATATACCAGAGATGTCCATGGCGACGCGACAGCGCCATTATTTATGAGAAATCACTGTGGTACGGTAGTGGTGCGGGGGATTTTTAAAAAATATAGTCGTAGCAGCAGTACGGTGGCAACAGGTGCTTTTTACAAAATTTCATGGATTTTGACAGGATTCAGATCTCCATAAATGTAAATCTCAGGAACTAGCTGAATCTCATGGATTCATGTCAACAGTACCAATTTATTGGACTGACGGTAGGGATTTTCGAAAGATTTTTTTAAAACCGTCGCGACAGCTTTCTTTATAATTGATCGCGGTGCGGCAGATTCTCAACCCCGATTGACATCTCTGGTGTACACAGTTTTATTAAAATAAATAGAAATGAAAAAATGCCAAAACTACTTGACTTGCTCAATCCTGAGTTCAGCTAGCTTCCTCTTTAAATATCGGTATCAATGGTTGAATCGAAACAAACATGAAGGGTGTGGGTGTGTTCTTTTTACGTCCACACCCTCAATAAATACAAATGTAAAAGCCGATAGAAACATTGTTCTATTCCCGAGTAGTTCAAAGTTTCTCACAGTCTTCAGCATAAAATTGATTTCCTCTGGTCGACTATTTGACAAACAAACAACAATCGATTTAAAGAATTTCGTGAAGCTTTTATTCTAATCATACAAATGTACTTAATTTTGGCATTTCTCATAACGTTCATTGTTGTATCAAAAAGTGTAATAGTGCCATCCCGACATTCAACCTGAAGGACACAATGCTATACTTTTTTAATATTTTGTATAAATATACATAAAAGAAAAGCTTTTAATGAAATCAACACAGAGTTCAAAATTGAGACATGACAAAAGTATCGTAATAGTTGCCTAAAGCTTTCGTTTCGTCTGAAATTATTATTGCGTACAAGAGAAACTGTTTCGACTCAAACAAGTTTAAAAGTTTTCCAATAAAATGTTTATATCTCTACGCTTAAATAAATATTCAGTCTTATTCGAGAAAAATAAACAATTGAAATTGACATATTATTTTGGGTGTGCGTGTGAGCCGTTATTTCAGTATTGCCTACACCCACACGCAAAGGGAAAGAAAGGTCGATAAATTGAAGAGAGAGAAGAAGGAGGAAGAAAGGATCGAAAAATTGAAATTTTTATCTGGACGCTCTGTATGGATGACCTCTCGTCAAAAAGAGAATATCATTCCTCTATAAGCAAACTGGTCTATATATTCACACTAAACTTTCTTTTTCGAAAAGGTCATCCATTATATATTTCGATAGTGGCATCAGTCTCGGTCAAAGAATCTGCATATACGTATATATATAGTTCCACGTTGAGAGAAGTGTCAGTTTGGATAAAACATGAGTCAGTCTGGTGCCAATCTTGTTGACCTGCCGAATGAGATATTGGTTATTATATTTAAAAAACTTGATAATATTAACGTTTTACATTCATTATTCTCCGTTATTAATGAACGATTTGACAGTGTACTGGAAGGTAATCATTTCACGAACACTCTTAATTTGGTCTCAATATCATCAACTGATGATGATATTTGCTCACTTGATGATTCGATACTTGATCGTTTTTGCATTAATATTTTACCAAAAATTCATCATAATGTCAAACATCTTACTCTCGAATCAATGTCTATGGGACGTATTCTTTGTGCTGGCACCTATCCAAATTTAACTTCCCTCAAATTATTTAATTTCGAACAAGCGATCGTTTTATGTTATTGTAAAGGTAAATATTTTATAAATTCTTCAGAAATCAATACATCAAGATATAATAGCGTTAAAAAATAAGAACACACTTTAATCTAATTATTTTTTAGATGAATCAATCTTTCGACATATTTTCCAAGATCAAATAACCGAACTTATTCTTCAAAATAATGATAACAATAGTCATGAAAGATTATTGAAAGATTATACTGAAACAGTATATGTATTTATCCTGAGTTTCTTTAAAAATTTAAATCATTTAAGTATTATTGAATCATCCATTACTGACTATCCACCTGTGTCAATATCTCATTCACCATCAACGGCTTTTTCTTCCGAGATTCTTACAAAATTATGTATTGATGTCTTTACCTTTGATGATTGTCTTTATTTACTCGATGGTCGTCTTAAACAATTAATAACATTCATTGTTCGAATTTATCATATAAAGAATTTTTCATCGATCACTCACAAAACCGTAAGTTTATACTTTATTATATTTTTCAATGTAACAACTAATATCGGTGATAACGTTGAATTAATCAATAGCTCAATAGATGATTTATTTACTTTACAAGTGAACAGAAAGTATGTCACTCTAGATAGTTGGAAAAAGAATTTCTGTTAATTAATTGAATATTCACAACTATCTTCTGTTTAACAAACACGAATATATCAGAGATTTTCTATCTTCTATTTGTAAAATAATTTGTAATTTAATTTATTAAATATGAAATTATTTGAAATTCTATTATGATAATTTTTTTAACAAATATCTGATGATTTTTGTTTAAAATTTTCTAATTATTCTTTTGATATATATTTATGATTTCTATGCTGAAAGTTTAGAAAAGTAATCCAATTGGTTTATTTTTCATTATTAGAAAATGTGTGTTTCACATTCAATATAAATTTCAAACAATTAAAAATGAATGAGATTTTTTCCTTAAATTTAATAGATAGATATGTATCTTTAAATATATATTTTGGATTTTCTAGAATGATGCTTTATCTAATTTAAAATATTTCTCATTAACATGTTATCGTGAAACTGAATCATATGATAATCGAGTGATACCTCTTCTTCGCCGTATGACACATCTGGAAAAATTAACTTTGTACCTTCGTCTCAAGCATCGATCCACATTTGTTGATGGTACTCATCTTCATAACGAAATTCTTATGCATAAACCACGACTCGATACATTCTTTTTTTATATTAGTACTGAGATTGATATCGATGCTTTAGTTCACCGTTTATCTGATAATGATATTCAACAAACTTTTATTAATATAGATTATCACGAAACGGCTTGTACTGTAAACTATTTTAAATCCAAAGCGATATGTCATGTGTTCTCACTTCCGTTCGTATTTGATCACCTCGAAAACATCACCAATAAGTTTCCAAGTATGACATTTGATCATGTTACTTGTCTGACAGTAACTGATGAGATTCCATTTAATCATAACTTCTTTATTCGAATTGCTAAAGCTTTTCCATCGATGAAATATTTGTGTATTCACAATGTTATGTCGCCATTATGCAGTTTTGGTCAATATAAAGCTGATAATATTCAATTATATCCAGTTATTGAATATCCAAATCTTACTTCACTTGACATTGTGTATGTGGACAATTATTATATTGAACAATTTCTACTTGATACAAAGACAAATGCACCTCGTCTAACTGACATCGAAGTAGGTTACAATCAATTGAAAGCTGTAACAGTGAATTTTACGCGAGATGCAACACGACACAACTGTGCCAATGTTAAACGACTAATTTTTGAAAAGAGATATTCAGATTATCCAAACTATCCCAAAGAATTTTCTCTCTATTTTCCTTCGTTGTAGTGTATTTCTTTTCTGATTATTTCAATAAAAGTAAATGTTGTAAAACTTCTCATATTGCTTTGTCAAAATAGATGAATGCAAATAAATTCAATTGTCAATGATTACTATGTATGACAGGCTTAATTGGGATATTAATATGATTGTTTTTACAGCAGCATATATCATATTTGAGAGTTATAGTTTTATAGGTATTGTTGTTGTTTTTGTTTTTTTAAAGCAAAATTCTATATATATATAATTTATATATTTACATATATATGTACAATAATGTGATCGACGTTTCGAAGAGTTAAATCTTCATTATCAAGATATGTATGAGTGTGGGTGTGGATTGGTGTTCTATTTCTCTACATCCACATCCTCTTTGCATTCTCAAGTTTGTTGATCCTGAGACATTGGAAGGCGTATGGTGTCAAAATCCATTGGGAGGTGAAGCAACAGGGATCGCGATTTTTGTATTCTTCATTTATGAGTTTTGACGATATGAAGAGAAAAAAATAATAAAAGTTGGCATTCGAAAGTACTTTGACCATAGTAAAAGTGATCAGAGTTCTATATAAGATCACGCTATTATGAACACATAATCACTTTATTTCAATATATTTCTTGAAGATGTTTTTCGAATCAACTTTGATTAAAACATTTACCCTCTTGGTTACTGTACTAACGAGGAAATGTTTTCCGATATCCATTAGCTCTTCAATTGTTACTATGTGCATCATGTAGATTCCAATGAATTATGAATACACTGGAAACAATTAGTACTCATAGCGTGTTTCTGACAAGATAACGAATTTTAAGTGAATCTTCTTCACAGAGCCACAGCTTTGCAACGAAACTATATTTTCGATAACTGAATATCTCGGAGAGATTTATTTAAAAAAATGCCAAGTTTTTCGTAAAAGCTTGTCTAGTTGAGTTCTTTATTTGGAAAAAAGAGTCAGGCCAAAATTCGAAAATAAAATTAGACTATAAAACTGCGATCCTGCAGGGAATATTCATTTAAAATTTGCTATATCACTGGGAATAAGCTATGGGTACGAGTTCTTTTCAGGATATTCATAATTCATTAGAATCTACATGATGTAACTTATATAGTTTCGAATCAAAAACGAATGCACAGTTGAAAATGTTCCTTTATGAGCGTGTTATCTGTGTTCTAGAACAAACAAATCAAACATAGGACATTATACTAGGCTCAACGTGTTTGATCAAGTACTTGTTACACGAAGCTGATTATAAAGTTTTGTGGCTCGTAATGGTCAAAAGTCGAACATGATTATCTTCTTACGTGGCTGTCGAAAAAATCTAAATATTTCATCAAAAGTACAGTTTTAATGCCGCTTGCTACCGGTTATGTCAATACCTCTGCATGCATTGTATCAAAAAACTGTTGGTTGTACGGAGATCCGAGGAAAAACCAAAATGAATTTCAAGGCATATTTTTTAATACTATCAGTCAAAAGAGGTATCAAAATTGTACTTTTGATGAAATGTTTAGATGACTTTGACAACCGAGTGACGAGATACTCATATTCGATTTTCTGACCATCACGATCTACAAAATTGTATATTCGGTTTCGTGTAATAAGTGCTTGATCGAATATGTTGGGCTTAGTATAATGTCCTATATGTGATCTTTGTACCATCCATTAAGATTCACATTTCGACTCTGAACTCGAATCTATAATCAGATATTTACTTTGAACATGAAAAACTCTTCGTTACACAATTAATTAATTCATGTTATATCGAAAATGACTGGAAATATGGTGTGTTAACAAACAAAGGGTGTACGTTAAAACTAAGAGAAAATTGAGCCACACCCACACCCGCATTGAGAAACGAGCTTAAATTCCATGTTTCTTGAAACTTTCACATGCATTTGTATACATTGATGAAAGAAAGTTCGAAAAATGAAGCAGCAACGGTGTACAGATTGTATGGGAAAGGACAGAGTAATGCTGTATTATTTCTTTGAAAAAGTATTCATGTAAATAGAAACTGAAGCTTTGAAAAGCTGATCATCTTGATTGTTCTAAGTAAACTTGCATCTGAGTGAATCAAACTCGACAAAGAACGACCGTTTGAAAAACTAAAGAGCATGTAGTGGTGGC